AGTCGAATATTTACAAAATGGAGTTCTGTGTTAGGAGGCAAGCCTATGTGATGTGCTGTTCAGCCTATCATATTGGCCTACACCACGGGATAATGGCGATTCCTTTGCTATATTTACGATCTCTTCATACTATTTGTTAGTACGATTGCTGGCTGATTTTCACTTTTCTAATAATCCTGCCGTCAAGGATGTAGATAATAGATAAACAAGAATGAACTGAAGAGAATCACAGCTGTATTAACCTTAGGCCACTTAAGTTAATCAAAAAGTGGTAGTTGAATTTTCTCACTTTCCATTAAATTTCACGGTCTTGCTTCCCTAAATGTATCTTCATTCAGGCTGAACTGCACTGCAAGTTCGACCTTTGAGAGGCCTATTCAACTATCGGTCTTTCATCATCTTATGCGACCTCGGGTTAATACAGATCTTCCTTAAGATCTACTGGCAGTTTCTAAACCTACTCGAAATAAACATGAGCTGAAGAAAACATATACTGTCAGAAAAGATGTAACTAAATTTAACACTTAATATTCTCTATTTTATGCTGTTTATTTGCAATTTCAATCTATTTGTATGCGCTTACTAATTTTAACTTCTTCCTCTCAACTTGGTCTCGTTGCTTACTTCTTTTTTCACTGACTTACCCTTTATTCTTTTTCCTCTCGTTGTTCCCATCATTTCTATGTCTCCTCATAGATCTCTCCTTGACCAAGTTGCCTCTGCACGCTCCACGTGGAATGAAAATGGGTGATCGCGTCGCTAACCACGACTCTGTCGGCTTACTCGCCGACCATTATGACACCGGTATCGGGGGCGAGACAGGCGCAGTCGTGACCACCGCAAGTGGTGGCCTGACAACAGCTACCACGGCGACCACGACTACCGACGCCACTCTTCATCCGCCCATATCGGCCCCCAACGAGATCGGCTTTGACGCGGACCTGACAGCGTCGCTGCCCGTCGGTGTGGGCGAACTGCCACTTTTGTCAACTGGCAATTTGCAGGCCGGCGACACCTCTCAGGCAGTCTTTGAGGAGCCTTTCAATAAAAAGCCTCGTAGGACAAAAAAGAAGTACTCTGTGTTACAGGCCAAGCTAAACAGCCTAGCCGCCCTAATCGGGCAAATTGGTAAGCCGCTTATCAATGCTTCTCAATTTGTCGTTTGACAACACGGTTTAACGTATACTACTACTACTACTACTACTACTAATCAGCATAATCAGAATCATCATAATGCCACTTATGACAATGACGATAACAACGGCCACTTTATAAGAATGATATTTTTAGTTAGTTTAACCTTTCTATAATGATACAACTATTTTGAAGGGTAATTTCCACAATTTCTGCCCATCATTTATTTTGCATTTTTCGCTGTTTCTACGTACACACGACTACGTGTTTGACCAATTAATTCCATCCTGATTCATGAAAAAAAGCTAAATAATAAGCATTCCAATTCTGTCCTGCTGAATAGTTTATTGTCTTGTCACATCTTTCCTGATTTTAGGCTATTTGCCAAAATGTCGCTTTCATTTTGATCTTTGTACTTGAGATAAAAAACTGTTCGCATAACTTTACGAATTGGTCTGATTTATGTAGGATTATCACCCTGCAGTGTAGCGCAGAAGCTGATTCCATAAGGATCACCTCTTAATAAGCCGTCAGTGCGTTCTCCCTTCACTCAACTGTCACCTTTACTTATGACGTCCGTTTCCCTTTCGTTTCCTTGTTGGTCTCGGCATAGTGATACGTTGAAAGCATGATGAGGATTTTATCTGCTACCATATGCCCTATAGTCGTAGTTACACCGTCCTGTTCATGGGTAGAAGGCGAAAATTGATCTTTATTTAGATCCCCTTTCTAGACGTATATTTCTATTCTTTATTTTTTTGTGATAACCATTTGTTCCTACTCAATACGACACTTCATCCGTTTTGTACCGCT